TACACTTCGCCCCAAACACACAGAACAAAAATCCGTTCGAATCCGAACCAAAAAAAAAAATCAAGTCAAAAGCGTAACTAGATTTCGATAACTTTATTCATATGGCTGTGTGTTAACGTGTACGAACATGAAAAATGTGACACATCGTAGCCATTGTTATTCGTCGTCGTCATCGGCGACGTATGAAATGTGTACAACTGTAAAACCGGTGACACTATAATAATTCGTTCGCTTGCAAGAAAAGGAAGATGATAATAATTTTTAATGACAATAACTGTCCGTAACACAGTATAAAACAATATATCTAGAGCAAATTATGATGGAATAAACGGTGGTGGTGGGGTGTGCGTGATGGTGGAAACCTTTTCTTCTTTCACCCTGCATTATTAGTGAATTACAGAGAAAAGTGTTCGTGTGTGAACGAGATAACGAGACATTATATTTTAATATTCATGGCAAAAGTGTGCACAAGTAGCGTAACAGCATATTAGACACTGGTGCACGACCATTGGCAAATAGTAAAATAGTAAATCGAAAGAACAAAATGTCAAGATGTCAAGGCAGAGAGCGAGAACGAGAAAGAGACGAAGTAAAAGCATAGATCTCCAAACTGATATCGAATAGTTGCGAATATTTCCATTACATAAAGTGAATCGTTTCAATCTTTCGTTCCGCATGTATTCGCTTCGATTTTTTTTTTTTTGTGAAATTTTTGAAACTAATTTTAAGTGCTCACATTTGCGTTGCACGCACACAGATGATTTCCACTTAGGCATGCAGGATTCATGCAAACACAGCACAAACGCATTTGATATGTTTAGTTTAAAAAAAAAATACGAAAACGGCATTAAAAATTGTTGGTGATTGCTAAACACGTTTACATTCATGCAGCTACCGCATTGTGTGGATCGTATACAAAAAGTCACATAATAATCATTATCATCAACATAATGTGCTAGGGGAAAAATCGGCATACACACAACCTTATATGCTTGATAAATTCAGACGACGGCAGCGCATCAACACACACACCAAATAATAACATAAACGGAATCAAGAGAGTGAGAGTGAAAAAAAAGAGTCTTGCACATTGTAAGCATTGTGCGTGCGGTCTGTAGGGAGAATCAAAAAACCATATTACACTTGCTGAAGCATGAACGCATAACGTTCCATAAACACCATCATCGCCACTGTTGCTTCTTCATCATTTATAAGTAGACACATATACACCGAATATATATAATATTGGTCCAATAGCATAAAAGTTTCATGAAGTTCGCACGTACATTAAAATTAAATGTCGTTGATACCCCAATAAGCGAATTCACTTCAGTTTGGTACTGGCAATGGTGATGGTGCTCGGCAATAATCGAGAGACGGAAACTCTATTCAGTTGTGCTGTTGAAACGATGGGCGGAAATTCGCAAAAATTAGTTTATTTTAATTTACATAATGCTATAACTTTACAATGAACCGAACAAATGTAATAAATAAACTGGCTAAGCACTAACTAAAAGTGTTGGAACATTTTGTGATATATGTGTGAATTGAAGAAAAAAGAAATGTTTAAAAACTCCTATCACATACCGAGCCAGTTCGCTACAAATGTATGCTGCCATCGTTACCAATTCAAACAATGTCGTCGTTTTTGCATTGTAAAATGTTTTTGCCAAATTTTTGTTAAGTCCAAAGTCACGTCAATTTCAATTTTTTTGTCATTCTTTGTCTTTTATTCCATGGAAATGGCCTGAGATATGGCACAAAGTGAGACATTCAGCTCAAGGGAAAGTTTCGATATGCACTCTTCCAATGCAAAATGTTTCCATTATCATGTGAAATTTGCTGAATATGTATATTGAAGCTTCGGTGCATTAACGTCGATTGCATGTTATTCAATTCAAACAGTATGCTGAGCCGACAAAAAAAATTCCGAATGTGAAACAAAAATATATAGACATTCTAGAGTCAAACGAAATGTTTCCATCTCATTTGTGAAGAACATATGGCCAATAGCCACTGAATTGAGTGCAAGGGAACGAGAACAAAAAGAATAAAAAAAAGTACAAAACTCCTCTTTTCTGAACAAATCATCTATTTTAATTAATTTAATGCATTCTTCTTTTTTATCTAGCGCATCGTCTATTCAATAGATTGAACTAGTTGATCACATTGAAAGTCAAAAGTGAATGAAGAAAAAAAATTACCCAAAACATTTTGCTTACATGGAATTTCAATTTTTTTTTTCGTTTAATTCTCACTCGCATCCATACAATTCATCTTTGTTGGGCACATTTGTCACAATAAAATCAACGTAATTTATTATCTTTTTATCTTGTGTTGGCGGGGAGAGTGGGAAACACCACTTGAAACTGGATAAATATGTAATCGTCAAAATATTTGCCATGAGGAATTTGTAATGCGTTGAACGGTAGCGAATCGCAGTTTATAACAACAACAAAAAATTGTATGCAAAAAAGAGAGAAAAAAATATATAGAAAGAAGAAACCCTGATTGCCAATATATGCTGATGGCTGAAGAACGTGATGTTATTGTGGTTATTCTCAACACTTCTATTGTGTTGCGAAATTTTCACATACATTTCATATATCGTGGCAGCAATGCTGTTTTTTTGCACATTCTTTCATTTTGAGCATTGTACATGTACATCTTTGTGAATTCGTTCAACTTAATATTTTCCATTCCGCCCCAATGCATCACTGACTTTTGCACTTTGCAAACATCCAACAAACAAAATCCAATTTTTCTTTTTAACCAACTCGATACCTTTTGTGTATATGTGTTAGTATGGATGCGTGTGTGTATCGATTTCACCGAATGTGTACACGGAACTAACATCATTTTTTATATTGTCATCCATTTGAGTTTTCCTTACAGCTCAGATATTTATATTTTGTTTGGCAAATGATGGCGCTTCTTGCTTTATTTTACAATTGATATTGATTTTATGACGCAATATTTTGATATCAATGCAAAACACTAAGGAAATATAATTGAAAATGGAAGAAATACCATTTCACGAATATTAAATAAACTCTACTTATGAGAAATGTTACAATTTTCTTTCGCCGCATTTTTTTTTTCAATGGGAATGATGATGGAAAAAAGAGAATCGTTTGCATAAATAATTTTATAGTATTTTTTACTTCTTCTTGAATAATTATCTGTCGTTTAAACAACACAGATGGGGTTGAAATGTATTTTAAATACCTAATCAAAATAGATTTTACTGCTCTCATCAATTTGGATGTTGTGAATGATGATCGGGGGAAAAGAGTGTGCAGAGGTGAATGAAAAGACTCATTAGGAAGAGATTTTCAAACGATTACATCTTTTTATATTGCCGTAATGCGACCGTGCAGAAAGAAACCGTGCAAAAGCCAAAATAACGAAATTAAACGGATTTATTCCGGAACATTCAGAAGTCATTCATTCGTCTCGACCCTCATTGTGATTATGTTATGATCTTAATCTGACAATCTGATTTCCATTATCACATAAATGCATGACAAAAAAAGCGCTACCATCTTCAAATTTACTACATCACATACGCGCACACATAAATTCACTTTGCGCACATTGTATGTGCACTGACATAGACTGAAATGAGTAAGAAGACAGAGTGGGAGAACGGCAGACACACATACACAGAGAGAGAGAGAGACAGAGAGAGAGATGAAGGGATGGGGGAAGGGTAATAATGAATATATCTTACTTTCGTAGCATGTCACCACTTTGTTTTATCTTATAAATTATTTGCTGCACATGCATGTACATGAAACGTGTGTGCCCATTATGATTTGCCCGACATGAATGGTATAAATGCGGCATTTCACTTCGAATAATGATACCTTAGCATAATCAATAGCGACACATAATAACCATTTTCCATTTATAGTATTATTATTTTGCTGTTTTGTCCTGATAGTTTTGCATTCAGCTATACTGTTTTGGTTTTGTACATGGTGTCGCTGTTTTGGACGCTTCATTAAAACTCAAATGAATGCACACAGAGAGAATCATACAGCGAAGAACGCACAAACAAACGACAGAATTCACAGTTGGTTGTTAATTTTGTTTTCTGATTTATCTCGTGCGTCCATTAACTAATTGTTTCTATAAACGTGTTTTTACGATGCCATTTTACTGACTGATAATGACGATTTTTGTTTGGATATTTGCCTCTATTATCAAATACCATTTGTAGTTCCATTAAAAGCTTGATACACTTTGGAAACATTGTTTAACGGTAAATAGCTCAATAGAACTCATTTGGATAGCTGTAGGGAAAAAAATTGTTGTGTTCGTTTAACATTTTTTTCCTCCATGTCCGGGTGTTTCCAATACTAATGATCGGCTGATTTACTAGTCGCTGCCGGAAAACGTGGCATACAGACGTAATTTGCATTTCTGTTACAGAGACAAAGTTTTCCATTCTCTAGCACCTGCACTTTAACTTGGACAAATATACACAAAGAGAGAGAAAACGTGTTCGGAAGCATATCACCAGTATATGTCATCGGAAATACGTAATATCCGTTTTTATTCGATGATAACATCGGTAAAATAGTCATAATATAATAGTTTCTATAATATTGCTTTATATAAACGAATCAATTTAAATGTGTCATATAAGCATACAATGAAAATGGCATCATTACAAACATTAGAAAGGCATTCTTAACGCCATTGACAACAGTAGAAATCTAATTGACACAAAAATGAAAGTATTTTCCAAACAAAAAAAAATTGACAAACGCGTTCAACAGTTTGTGTCGATGAGTAAAAAAAGCCTGCATGCATCAAAACAGTGTCGAATTTTCTCAATTTCACTTTTGTTGGTTCGTACAACGGAAATCGGTTCTTTTCTTCTTTCGTTGCTTTCTTGTCGATTTTCTTGACAAAAAAAAAAAAACATAATAATCATTGTGAGCTATTTTCGAAAAAAAAATCAATAAATCATGAATTTCTTCTTCTTACAGCCAATGGCCGCGCACCAATTGAACCATACTTTGGCCGTCATATAGGACCGTTTACAGAGTTCGCGCACAAAATCAAGGTATACATTTTAGTCGATATTTGAAGTGAAAAATCCGATAGAATGATTTGGTTGTTTTTATTTTAGGGTGAAGTGTATGCCGTAGACGAATCAACATTGTTCATCAAAGGTTTCGCATACGATGGAACTGGGCCGGATGCATTTTTCTGGGTGGGTAAAACCGCCAGACCCAGTCCAGAAGGCTATATCATTCCTTATCCAGAGGAATACACTGGCAGGTAATTTTAAGAATTATTTTTTTCACTACGGCATGTTTTTCTTTTTGGTTTCATCTTCGTTCTTTCAAACGGTAAAATAATAATAATAACAGAGTTCATTTTGAAAAATGCAACATTCAATGCGCATTGAATACAATTAAGTTGGAAAAAATATGTGACACGTGACTCGTTTAATGAACATCTATGAATCATGCGATGGTGATTGGTAATACAGAATGTGCCAAAGTAGACACGATCCAAAACGGGGGATTTCATTGTATCAACAAACTTTGTTTTTTTTTTTTTCATGTGAAGAACAAAGAGACAAACAAAAAATTGAATCAATATTTTAGCAAACCCAAGCACAATTCCGTGCATTTCGTTTCGATTCTTGGCGATTTTCTGCAACAAATAGGAAATGGAATTTATTTCGGTGAAATGTCATACTATACGTCACTTATTCTACTCGAACGATGAATTCACAAAATGCAGTTTTTTTTATATATATTTGATTGAAAGTAGCAACAGCAATCATCATGACGTTGTTGACGCATTTATGAGCTTATTTCATGTGCGTTTATTTTTATATATTATATAGATTTGTATTGAATGGCACTGCTGTATACTTTGGATTTGTGTTGAAACTTGGCACGTGTATGCACAAATAGAGTGTAAAGCTTGTGTTATCCACCAATCGATTCGGAAAATGTGGACAATCACGATTCACGTATTAACAAAAGAATCGAAACGCTCAATCTAATGTATATGGATATTTGTTGAATGCATAAACTTCGTTTTATTTATATTTAGTTTTTATTTTTGAACATGGTTTTTTTTCAATTAAATTTTTTTTTGATAACGTTCATGAATTCACATTGCATTTCGTTAGAGAAAAAAGAAGAAAAAAAATCGAAATCGTTTTCGAGTTTTGTGTTTATCGTTCAAACTCAGCACGTTTGTACTTATTTATAAATCTGAAATAATCGAGATGATCAATTTATCAGCTTATTACAATTGAAAACGAAATGGCCAAGCACCAAGAGACCAATTCTTATCAATGATAAAACACATTTTGACGGAGATTGAACGGAGGCCAAAACCAATAGTAACAAACAGAAAAATCGTATTTATAATCATTGAAGAGTGTACTGAACTCAAATGTTCGAATCAAGATGTTGGTGCTCTTAAGCTGTACGGACTGTATTGATATCCCACTCCCCCCCTCATCGCACGCAGTTAATAACATGGACTAGCACTTACAAAGCGTATAACCGAATTGATGGATAAATATTTCCCATATTTACATTTGTCAGAAAATTCGATATGAAATAAAATCAACAAGCATGAAACTAGCTTTGGCCCCACGGCAATTTGCCGGTTGAGCCATAAAAATTCGCATTATATGTATTTAATATAGTACGTATGTACAACAACAACATGCAGCAACGACGACGACGACGACGACGACAGGCAACAATCAACCAGCCTCTCAATCGATGTGTGCCATATTATAATCCAAGATTCAAACTAAATGTAATATTTCGTTTATAATACAGACGTTGCTTGTGTTTGCATTTCACTCATCGTTTTTTCCGCAATTTCATCCAATGCCAACAATAACATAAGCAGACAAAGGTCGTGTGCAATGCACACTGCTGAGAAGATCATCCGTTCAAAGACCGTATAATATGAAAAAGAGAAGAAAAAAATGGAACGAGTGGAAATTAATGGGAGAAAAATTTTAAGAGGAAAAGAGATGAATTTTTCAACAAATGAAATCTAGAACGAAATCAAATCACAAGAAGAACAGAGAAAATATTTATTCAATATTTTGAAGTTGTTGATGATGATGATGAGGCTACAAAGCTGGTGGCAGCGATGCCAAAAGTGATACATCATATCTATTTGTGAATGTATCAATTTGAATCGAGGGACCAATATTATATTTTCGGGTAATCAACGGTGTACGTACTTCGTCCATTAATATTCCGTTCGCTTGTGATAATGTTGATTTGCGCCCACTTGTTTTCACATCCAGCGCAATTTGGCCATTAGGGCTAATCAATGTTTATTATCCATGAAAAATGATAAATCTCATATCGGTTTTTAAACATGACAATGTCCATGACAACATTTTCTTCAATGCTCATTTAAAACTTTGTGAACAAAGTAAAAGTCCATCGATATCCAGTTTGGAGTAAATCTTGGCATTCATTTTAACATCCTCTGTTGAAGTCTTTTGTGGATTTGTTTTTCTTCTTGTTATTATGCTGGATACAGAGCACAAGTCATTTTATCTCTATGTTTTTTTTCTCTCTCTCTCTCTCTCTCTCTCTCTCTCTCTCTCATGGCTGTGCATTTCGACATAAATGTGAGCTGCGCATCAAATCAATGGGGTGCAAAACCATATCAAAAAATGTTCCATTTTTTGGCCGCACTCTTGTTCTTCTCATTTTAAAGTACATAATAGTAATAATAAAGTGATTCTCATGTTAAAGTGCTGATTTCAGCAAATAACGCATATGCACTGGTTACAATGAGTAATATGCATATTTGGCACCCTTGAATTAGGGTGAATGAATACGGAAAAAAATGCTGACATTGGCATAAATAAAAAAAGAGAGACATAAACGTAAAGGCTGAATAAAACATGTTATGCTAGTGTATTTATACATGATAAGGTGCATTCGCGCGCGCACGTTTATTCGCTCGTTCGTACATACATTTATCACCAGAAACCAAATTCATTAAATTACCATTTATAATGAACGACTATCAAAGGAGAGCGTATTTTGTACGCTTTAAGTTCATCTTTTGTTCCGTTCGAAACAATTAGCAACTTGAATCCATGGTTGCTTGTTTTGTGAGTGATATATTGTATACTTTTTGAAAGTCTTACGTATTGCCCATTTGAACTCAATATCATTGAATATGTTTGTAAAGAATTGCAGTGCCAAAGGGTGAACTATTGAATATCAAGCATTTTGCATATTATTATCGAAAATCTTAGAAGAAAATCAAATTGAAGGTAGAAGAAGAGATTTTTCTACAAATTAATTGGTTCCGAAAATGTCAAGAGTTTTCCATGTATTCGTGATATGTATTTGTAAAAGTCTTCAAACATCCATATTTTCCTTTTTTTATTATCATAGAGGTATTTTGCAAAATTTTGATTGTGTAGTAGTTAAATCGCATCGAGAAATAAACCTTCCAATTTAGAATTCATTGGAAGAGAAAAAAAGTAAAAACGCCGTGCCATCGAATTCATTTAGTTTGGCCACTTTCTGATGAGAGATCTCAAACTATGCCAAATACATTTCCAAACTATGTCTCAATAGCAAGTTACTGAAAAAATTAGTTTGAAAACGTGACATTCCAATTTTGGTCTTCAACCAATCAAAATCTCTAATCATTTATAAGTTTCATCACGGCCATGACCAGGTATACGCTTAAGATATAAATAGCATCATTACTTCCTAAAATGATTATAGGATGTTCGTCTCTACTTACAGTACTAAGTCCGATTCCGTTAAGCATATTAACATATAACAAATAAGAAAATTTCTAATAAAATTCCCATTGAGTTATAACAAGAAACCCAACTTCAACTGATTGGCCAAAAGTTTCAATAAGAAGACCATGAAAAAAGAGAATTCAGTTTTTTTTTCGGAAAGTGATCAAAAGATTATTGCGTTGAAAAGGGTTTATTCGGAATAAAGCTGAATAATGTTGCGTAGATTATTCGTTTTTTTTCTCTGTTTCTGGTATCAACGTGAAACAAATACATTTTCACAAATGAACAAAAACATCACAATGGTAAAATAGTCTATCATTTCGCCAGCAAGTAAATCGGTACTAATCGTCAATGACTTAATCGCCGGCAGACCATTTTACATAGAAGATATAGAGACTTATTTTATTGATAATAAATTAACATTCATGTCTCTTTAGTCCAAATAAATCCCTGCATTTCAGCAACAACAAAAAATAAATGTCCATCGGCTTTAAAGTATTAAATGACAATGGTGAATTCCATGGATGCAAAGGATGTAATCTTCTATTTTCTTTTGAGTATGTAATGCTATTATTTTTGATGTAAATAAATACATTTATTATAAATTGTCGAACAAAATTTAGATATTTAAATTTCGAATTTGGATAGTGATGAAAAAGGATTTTTCCGCTCATCGCCACGAATGTAAATTAAAACCATTGAAATCTAGTTTACATATTATTTGTGATGCATTCAACTTGAATTTCAATCGATGTGTTTTGATTAATCGCAAAATTTGAAATTGAATACCTCATGCGCGAAAATATTCAAAATAACCGACGATTCTAGTTGATTTAGCAAAGATTTATTTTTAAAAAATAATCATAAAATGATTCTATCTTGTGAAAAATATAGAAATTCGTCAAAAAAAAAACTATTCAAAGATATTAAAAAAACCAAATATTGATCTTTTATTTCAGGGATCCACCAATTTTACAAGCACATAATAACACGGATATCATTCTACGCTTGCCAATGGGAAAGAGAATCCGCGACATTCGATGGTTATCGGTCTGGTGTCGACGATTCACGGTAAGATATTTTGATTGATTACATATTTTGCATAAATTTTACGATGTTGCTGTTAAAATGAGTGTAAAAAAACCGTTTTGAACACAAACACCATATGAATAATTACATAGTTTACCGAAATAAAAAAAAAAACTGAACATCAACGGCCAACAAGTAAATTTAATGAAAATGATTGTCGCTTGAATTAATGAAAATGTGCACCTGGTCGTCGCTTTAATTCGGCCAATCGCAGGTGAATAAAGAATGTTTGGTGATTTATATATCACTTGACGTACACAAAAATTCGGATATGCGAAAAAATGTTGTGATGTATGTGTGTACAAAAACATTGACTAAAGTTAAAAAATTACAAATCATTGAAAATCACGAGACATTGATGGTAAATACGGCCGTCGTACGCCATTATCGTAAACACAAATACATATTAATGCGGCATGAAAAGACTAACCGTTGCAATGGCTGTAGTAAATGGCAACAACAATAACAACGACAATACGATTGCAGAACAGCGTCAGCAACTACAATTCAAGCATAAAAGGTATATCGTATCAAATTGTATGAAAAGAATTGCCGAATTTTTTTGTTGTGTATGATAGAGTTTTGTACAGTTTGTGGATGGTGCGTATGTCATGCGCATACGCTTTAATCGATAAAAACGGGAGTTTCTGTTTTTCCATACTGAATCTCAATTTTCCATGAAATGCTGAACATTATATGGAACGCCGGAATGCGATATATTTCACATAATACAGCATTTTTGTAAAGCAATCGTTACAATGCTTTGAATTCGTGTATAATACTAATATGGCTTACATATTTCACTCGTTTTCTCTTTCACTCGCTTTTCCGCGTGTGACCCCTCTTTCGCTCTCTGTCGCTCAGTTCCCCCCCATCAACCAAGCGTTATCGTACTTGCACAGCGTAGACGAAGGAGGCGCGGTTCCAAATTTTCAAACACCCATCTCACTAAAACTCGACAACAGAATCGGATTTCGGAAAAACATTTTTCGCGGCTTTCTCAGAGCCACTTGTATCACTTTTTTATATTTCAATTGTACTTTACAAATTGTATTTTGCCCTGGAACAAACCATCTTTGGGTGTACATAAATCGCAAACAAAACTCAATTAATTATGAGAATCGATTTGAACTTATTACAATCGAATCTTTTTCCATTTGATTGACTCCAAATCACTGATGCTAATTTCAATGCATCAAAATAAGTGGTATTATAGCAAAATACCTAGAAACATCAAAATAATCATTTTGAGTGGGAGCAGAAAAAAAATCAAATTAAAAGATTATTCCACTTCAACTTGAAAAAGAAAAACACAGACTCTCTTGAAAATGAAGAACCATATTGAAGGCATTGAACTCCATTTCGTAGCCTGTCTATACGTCCACTTTGCTAGGCAACAACGTTGAACTTAAAAATGAACTAACTTGTTTAAACAACACATCAAGACATTTTAATTATTAATTAAAAAGAATACCACAATAAAAGCGCTGTATCAATAGATAAAATCGGCGAAATATAACGAAAATTATGAACCTCGCCAAAAAAAAAAATACACGTTTTTGGTAACAATAATAATAAAATTTCATGAAAACTCTATTGTGGAGCGCCAGTTATAATAATTGTATAAAATATATAAAAGTACAAACGGGAAATATTTTTAGTCTTTATACCATCAATTGTTCGACAGAAACAATTTAGCATGGCCAAAATGAAATTTATAGCAAGAATGAATATTTTAAACTGAATTTTATTTGAGATAATCACTCGAAATATCCATTTTATTGTCTGCAAATGTAATTTTAAATTTTTTATTTGAATTTTTTTGGTCAATGTGTCCAATTCTAATGAATGTAAACCCATAGATTTAAGATGTAAATGAGGAGCTTTCGCATAATCTGAATCGATTTTGCGTTGAATAATTTGGATATTGTAATTGTTTTTGTCATTTCTGCAATTAGGTTGATTTCGGCGAAGTTTTCATCCCGGTCAGTTTGGATGTTCCGAAACCAAGAGTGTTACCCGAATTTAAAAGACTTGCACATGGGCTACGTTCGAGTAATATAAGTGTGCTTGATGCAAAAACTTTCTATATACCCAATCTTCACTACGATGGTGCTGGTCCGGATGCATACTTTTGGGTGGGCAATGGAAGCGAACCGAATATAATGGGAATCAAGGTAATTGATCCACTAGAATGAAGGCGTATTTTAGACAAACTGCGATATTGTAGGATGTTTCTCTTAATGTCATACCAACATATTTTAAAATACTTTTGATATTTATTCGACCGCTTTTTAAATTTCTTGAAAATCAAAAGGAATTTTAATTAAAGCGTACATAAACGACAAGTCAAAGTGAAATGAAATTTGTTCAAATTACTTATGGTACGGTAAATTGAATTGGGACAATATCATGAATGCACAAACAAACTTTTAGTTTTTCGCCACAATCTTTTACATTCATGAAATGAATGAGGTAACTATATACACAGTCAAAGCGATTGTGCGTTAAAAAATTTCATGAATGGAGCTCATTTACGTTTATGCAAACGTTGAATCGATGCAGCTGATGAGAAAAGCTCGCGCTAAATGTTTTACCATGTGAAACAACAACTCATTCCCTATAGACAATATATTTGGATATGAGATGAGCTGAAATATGACAATATATTGTCTGGTTGTATGTCAACATCACATTGATACGCAAATAATAAATCGGTATTTTCGGTAACCGCTTGAAAGTTCAAAGCTCTTTGTGTATTAATATATATTGTGTTTGGGTGGTGTTTTGGTTTATTAATTGTGTAGGTGCCGAATGAAATTGGTTCTCTAGACCCGTTGCGGGGTTATCAAGGAGAGGATATTGAAATTCAGTTACCTGGAAATTTGACTGTGTACGATATCGATTGGTTGGCTGTCTGGTGTGTTGAGTACAGACATAATTTTGGTCATGTATACATTCCGAAGGATCTTGATGTGCCGCCTGCTTTAGGTCAAACCAAAATTGCGGTAAGTGTGGATTCGTTGACATATGATTTTTATTAAATATTTTAATATCATCCATAATAAACATATCGATTTTCGACGAATTTTTTTTTCTTCATTTATCATGCAAACGCATAGCCACCATGGTGGTATAGTCCTGTAAGTAACGATAAATTTCGCTGCAAATTAGTCTCATTTTTATTATGTGTTTGATTTAAAAAATTACTTTTTTTCGGACCGAATATAGTTTGTTTTGTGCCGAGCATAGAAAAATCATTGAAGAAAGTGGTGGCATTAAAAGAATATTATTCAATTTCAGACAACAACAACACCAAGACCGAATATCAATAACTGTCGAGAGATCATTAGCAATAAATTGCAAGTGAAATGGGAAATCCAAGGAGATTACCTTCAAATCGAATTAATCGGTCGCATTCGAGAAGATCAATACATGGCTTTTGGTTTATCCGGAACAAATGGACGACCTCAAATGGTGAGACCTCTTCACAATCATTTCCATTCTTCTTTTCCATCTTCTTTCGTTAGTGCTTATTTTCTGTGTTGCTCCATTTTATTCGCTTTTCTCGTTCACTTTGTCTCAGCAGCCATTTAACTGTTTTTCTCATCTTATTTTCTCGCTTTCATATCGTTCCCTTTTTCCCATTCGCAAAAATCATAGGTTGGGGCCGATGTTGTAGTCGCATTTTATGACAAAGTGTCAAGGGTATTTCGTGCTGAAGATTATTATTTATCGCACTTGTCACAGTGTGATGGAAAGCAAGGCGTTTGTCCCGATGAACGCATTGGTGGCAGAAATGACGTAACAGTCGGTGCGTATCGCATAAATTTTCCCGAATTCAAAAATATCAAATTCCGAATAAATCATGCAAAAAGTAAAACGGAAATCGATTGAACCTTTGCATTAACGAATTTTTTTTTTGTTTTGTTTTCTTTTCCTTTAATCTTTGCAATTCCGTTCGGTTCACAGTGATGGCCGACCGAAAGAAAATGGTAACTAGTATCAAATTCAGACGTCCGTTGCAAACCAACGAACCAATAAATGATATGGCAATTCCAACCGATGGATATGTATCTGTTATCGGAGCCATTGGACCATTGAATTCGAGACGAGAAGCAAACGCTCATTCGCATGATGCCATGAACGTTAATTCAGACGATATTCAAATTGATTTCTCATCAAAGGTAAATAAATTATTATTATTTGGAAAGTGGCAAATTTTGATTTTTCATTGAAAGAAATTCAATGAATTTAAAAAAAAAAATTGTTAGTTGCCGAAAATAAAAACGAGTTCACATTTGTTTTTGGTATTAGATGGATCATGACTGTAAATCGTCGTTGGATTCGGTGCCTGATGAAAATGCGCCAAAACCATGGGCCGTGCGAAAAATAATTGGCGAGAAAAATATTACGGCACGTATTGGACCAACGGGTGGAAAACGTGGTTATGAAGCACAAACGGGCTCACCGTCATGGGGCATTGCATGGTATTTGAATGATTTACTCATACCGGAATTGTATGTGGAACGCGGTGAAACTTATACATTCATCGTTGAGGGTGGTGATAAATCAAGTAACCCAGCCAGATATCATCCATTTTACATAACCAATTCACCGGAAGGTGGTCTTGGACAAGTAACGGACGACGAAACAATGAGCGATAACACGCGAGTGCACAACTATGCCGGTACGGCTAGAGATCCATTGGGCTATACATATCCAACAGCAAGTAAGTGAAAATTGTACATTACGATAAAAAAAAAATCGAATGTTTCTTCAATGCTTTTGTATTTTGTTCAGCTGGCCGGTATTGTGAATGGGTGCACCAAAGCATCGATAGATCAAATGAAATTGAAACTTTTGAAGAGTACAAGAAAACGCTACGGTTGGAGTGTGAAGAAGGAAATCCAGCTATTTTAACATGGACTGTTCCAGACGATGCACCAAACGAACTTTACTATCAGGTGAGAATTTATTGAATATTAACCTTTTTTTATGACGATCTGAAGTGATTTATGACATTTTTTTTAACTTTACGATTGTTTTTCTACTTATTTAATTTTTTCTCTTTCAAGTGTTACACGCATAAGAATTTGGGATGGAAAATAATCGTGACAAATAAAGGAGAAATAGTGCCGAGCAGTAGCCCAACAAACATTCGCACAAATATATCGTTGCCAATTCTATTTATATTTTCATTGGGTGTTTCATATTTAACGTCGATAAAAACGAAAATTTCGTTTCAATTGGCCTGATAACGAATCGTAGTCGTCGAAACATTATAATAACAATTGAATTGCAATTTTTTTTTGCAAGCACGTTATCAAAACAAAGTCCTATGACTATATATTTTAAAAGAAACAACAACATATATTCGACACACGACAAACAAACTAAAAAAAAAACATTTACAACGATTTAATGCTGAGTTATAAAGCAAATCAACTCGCACAAAAACAACCGATCAATTCATTTGCTTTCAGATGAATTGATCAAAAAATAATTGACTTGAATTTTATTCAATGTGCTTTCTTTGAGCCAGAGTTGTTATTTGCACCCAAGTCGTGCGGACACATATTTCATATATCATTTTTAAGAAAAGTGCCCTCTCCTCCGACATGCCTATAACAGCTCTGCTCTGAGCACAAGTCAATACAACAAAAAACCTTGTGTCATTGCTCAAAAGTGTTTAGATCAATGATTTAAAAATTTACGCATAAAAAAGAATTAAATTTTTGATATAGACTCTTTTGGCGAACACTTAAAAAAAATTGAAGTTCTACCGACCATTGCGGAATTTCATCATCGAAAAGAAAAATTACCAAGAAAACAACCAGGCTCGATATCGATCGAAAACATATCTTTGTGCGAATGTTTGTGTGAATGGCAACTTAGTTAAGCTCTTCGACGCATCTTTTGGTTTCTCACTCTCAATCCTTTGAATAGCAAACAATTCTTATTTGGACATCAAATCGCAACAAAATACAATAATTCTTCGGCTCAACACAATTTTATTAAACAATTTTATGAATGACGAATGATGTGCTATTGACAATAAGTTAACTAGTTAAGAAAGATCTTCAAATTAGGACATATAAGAATTGACGATTTAATGGGAATGGTTTATTTTTTATTTTTATTTTTGAAACATTATAAAACGAACGATAGTAGTAAAATAGTAAAAAATAATTTACAACCTACTCACAATACTCTCTCTGTGTATGTTCTCAATTGTAAAAAAAACGAGATGTTGTTCATTTTATCCTTTCAAATATATTTATGCCCTACCAATAATCCTTTTTTCCCCTTCAATTTATTAAATCGATTTGTGTTTGTTCGAATTTCGTGCCAATTGGCAATTATAATTTGTGAATAATTCGTAGTAATTTGTTTTTCGTTTAATATGATAGTGAATTTAAAAAGTTCGGTGCTAATTGAAATGCCCACAATTGAAATCAACATTTATTCGATAAAATAAAATAGAAACAATAGGAGAACAATACTCTCGGATGATGTAAAATGATTACTATTATTAAGAAGATGAAAAAAAACATACAAACAATGACAATACTTTGACAAACAATAACATTTTTAACATTCTCTTATCATTAACGAGTTTGAATTGAAAATGGAAGATGAATTAATTAATTAAAGTAAACATGTTGACAATAAAACAAAGTTTAAACAATGTAAACTTCATCGAAATGATATGACAATAAAAAAATGAGAAATACAAAATAAACAATTACAACAAATATTCTTTAGATCAAAAAATTTAAAAATTTATTAAGTGTTGTGCTAAGCTTAGATAGACAGAAAATTATTTAGATTATAATAATCATAATAAATATTCATGCATTCACACATCCAATTGAAAGAATGAATCTTCTATTTCTGATAAGTGTTGAACAAAAATAATAATAATGAAACATAGAACCAGCGAATACCGTGAGCAGAGCTGTTATTGGCACCAGGGAAAATGAGCCAGTGCCCGCACTTATTCCATTTGATTTTTCAAGTCAATACCTGGAAATAAGGTGGAGAAGCACTTACAAGAAAAGTATCATTGACTCCGCGGTGCCCATAACAGTCCTGGGTGTCAAACGGATCAAACCGCTCAGATGAATTCATTTAAGCGAAGAGATTCCACTGACGGTATTCATTGCATAAAACATAGAAATTAATAGTGAAAATGAGTCACCATATTCAGGTGACGGAATAAACGAATGGACAATAATAACTATTTTTTTTCCTCTCAAATAATCAAATTAATTATTTCAATTAAATTGTTTACCATTGAACATTAACAAATTGACAATACAATTGCACTAGCATTTAATTTATTTAAGATTATTCAATGATTCGAAATCACTAATATTTAAGTCCTCTTTGTCGTCTATTTGCGACAGAAAATTGTTCTTGTTTAACCATGGTTTGATTTCGTCGAAATTGAGATCTCATCATCTTCATTCATGCGATGAAAATAATTTACTTAAAATAATGAGAATACCATCGAATATTCTTGTTGCCTTTTGGCATGCAATTTTTTTGTATGAAGTAAATTGTTTTCAACACATACGGATGGAAATGAAGAAATTTCATGCATTTCGACCCGTATTTCAAGGTATTTAAATACAAGCAACTGTTTCGATACACATTTCGTGCCAAAACTTGTACGTGGACATATGTATTTTATTAGAAAAAATAGTGAAATAGCTGTCCAATTTCATTCATCAACATTGAAAGCGAAATGTTAGACAATCGAATTGTACCCAATATTGTGAAATATTTCAAACAAAAAATCTTTTTAACTAATTAATAACGTAAAGCCATTTCGTATATGAATCAGCAGAGTGAACATTAGCATTTAACAGTGTAACCAGAAAGCACAAACGAATTGAAAATCCAACTTAATATCACAAAACTAATAACTCTGTAACATGTCATAGACTTGAAAAATGTTCGAATCTCAAAATATGCACACACACAAATCATACGAATCGTTAAGATAACTTTTTGCCATTCAAATACTACATATAATATACAGGTAAATTTCGTTGAAACAAAAACAAATAAATTTTTAAGTAAGCTGAACATTGACGGTGATGAAATTGTTCTTTCAAACAAATCATTTGAACACAATTGATTATTTCAATATTAGTGTGTGAACGCAATGCTATGACCAAATACATTAAAATGAGATAAGAACTGAATCATTATCGGCTTTAGCATAACGGCTATAATCGTATTAATAAATAAATGACAATAGAGTAAAAAAAACACACGCAGTATTCAATATCAGTAATTTTATCTATGGACCAGTCCATTTTATTTCATTACGCATTTTGGACGCATATCAAACCGATTGTCCCTTTTTCAAGTCCTGAAATTACATACACTGAACCGAACACCATTCATATTGATATTCTTGTTTCAAACATACACAATGAACATATTTTTCATCCTCTTTTTTTCACATTCACGTCAAAATGATAAAACTATACCATATGAAATGAGCGTTTAACATAAATTATATAAAAATGAGATACTTGAAGAAAAAAACAATAAATTCAATACACAGAATCATTATTTTCTGTGGTATTAATTCGTATAAAATAATGACAATTGACATGACAATAACAAAGTGTAACATGTACATTAAAAAATAAGTATAGGCTGGCAAATTTGCAATTTACTGATTTTATGGGAACGTTATTAATAATACAGGTTGTTTATGAAATGTTTACAGATTTCTATACAGGACCGTTTTTAGTACGGTACTTAGTACACTTTGAGTATAAATGACACATGTTACAATTTGGATCAATAAAAACATATATCAAAAGGGTTTTTTTTTTAATTTTCGCGAACTTTTGAAGATGTATTAATACTGTTGAGACATTCTCAGGCAGATGAGGTCAAGCGCTGAAATGGTGCGAAAACAATAGAAGTGATTGTTATTGCTATAAAAACGCTACAATCAATATAACAATCACTTGTATTGTTTCCGCTCTATTTCATCAGATGACATCAGCTTCCTGAGTTAAATCGACCGCCTGAAAATATCTCGATATAATGTGTGATACTGTTGTGTCAAAACTACATAATTATGCAAATTAATTCGAAAAATTCATGTTTTTATTGAGAAAGTGTACAGATTGAGAACCAAGGAATATTGTGTGGTAAATCTATATAGCAGCTCGTAAACATCCTGTATCATATAAATGTATTTGGCACGCATTTTATTTGAATAGTAATGCACTTAAATTTTCTCAATTTATCGTTCTCCTGTTTGAAAATAAATCGTGTTACTGTGTACTTTGCATATAAAAAATACTATAATTTTGTTTGATTGTTTCAGTTTTTCTTTTTTCCTATTTTCAATATAAAATTGATTTAATGTGGTGGTGCGTTATGATATTTTCAACAATTTTCTTTTTTTTGCGCATTTTTTATTGCTTTTTTTCTTGAAATATTTGGTGTAAAATGAATAAAAATCACAAAACAACATATATTCCCTCTCGCACGCACACACACAATAAATCGCCAATGAATTTATTACAGCGATCAAATAATCAATTAATAAATATAAATGTATATTTGTAATGACTTAAATGAAAAATCAAATCTAGTTTCTCTTTATTTTGTGCTCTTGATGCAATATGCAAAAAAATACAATTGAATCAATCAAACGATGACAATAATAATAATTTTACTGAAATATGTTTGGCAAAATAAATGTTCATTTTTGAATCGAACAATAAACCGAAAAAGAAAATATCTCAATTTTGAATGGAAGTAAAACAGAGGAGATCTTCATGCATACTATATCGTAAAGAAATATTGTTAATTTTTAATTCGAATCGAAAGCAAATAAAAATAAAGACAAAAAAACACACACATATAAAAGACTGGTCGTTTTATTTTAAGCAAAAATTCAAAATCGAAGACCAAATGGTTGGTTCATATTTCAAATGCTGTTTGTAGTCTGTCAACGATTCGACAAAGAAACATCGAAAACATCGCAGTGTCAAACCTAACCTTGCCTTCGATGACAATAATAATAAAGCAGCTGCTGAAATTGAAAAGTTTTTCGAGAAATGGCACGTAAACTAACAATTTTATATGGCAGCCAAACTGGCTACGCACAAGATTTGGCCGAATACATATGGCGTGAATCGAAACGGTATTATTTCAAGGGCACTGTTATGTCATTGGATAAATATGATATTCAACAATTGATTTATGAAAAGTTTGTTGTGTTTGTGTGTTCAACAACTGGTCAAGGTGAAGAACCGGACAATATGAAAACATTTTGGCGATTTTTATTGCGTAAAAGTTTACCACCCGATTCATTGTGTTCACTAAATTGTGCCGTACTGGGTATGGGCGATTCAAGTTATGAAAAATTCAATTTTGCTGCTAAACGTCTTAACAAACGTTTACAACAACTTGGTGCGAATCTTTTAATTCCAATCGGACTGTGTGATGATCAACACGATTTGGGACCGAGTGCTGTTTATGTTAATTGGTTAAATGATTTATGGAATGAGCTTCTTATACGTGCACCCCTTCCGGATGGCCTTAAACCATTGACCGAAACACCGCGACAATTCCGATGGAATGTCGAAATTGTTAAGACACACAAAATCACTGAATCGATTGAAAATGTTTATGAAAATTATCGAGATGCTGTTTTCGATAAAACCACTTTTAAAACAACTGTAATTGTTAGTATTTCAATTAGCTTGTACAATGATAAGGCCATTTAATTACGAGGAAAAAAATAAAATCTATTCTGTAGGAAAATAGACGAACGACGGCCGAAGAACATTTTCAAGATGTGAGGCTAATTAGTTTCAAGAGTGATCTCTTAAATTGGCAACCCGGCGATGTGCTCGTTGTGCGACCAAACAATTCCGATGAACAAGTTGATGAGCTGTTTGATATCTTTAATGAGCATAATTTCGAATTTGGTGCCGATACAATAGTTCAACTTCATGAAATTGATGCGGGTAAGAGTGAAAAAGTTTTTTTTTTTTCATTGTAAATATTTTATTCAAAATCAAAACCAAAAAATCATCCATAAAATTAATCATTAACTTCGATGTCATCGTCTTGTTTCCAACCATCTTCATCGGAGAAGAAACGTCGTTTGTTGGCCGTATTCATGTATGGTTTGAGAACCCATTCTGTGTCGGCTGCTTTAACTTCGTCTATCGTTCCCAATTTGATTTGATACAATTTCAATTGAAATCGTGGACCGACTTCGGTTAATTCAGTTTCACCATTCACCATTCGGAATGTGTGATGCCGAAATGCGATATAATCATCATGATTGGCGAATGTGATAACACGTTTTGAATCCTCTTTTGGCACCGGAAACAAATATTTTAGAATTGACATCGAACGTTCGGCTATTTTTGTTTTGAAATTATGGAATACTAAATGTGGTTTTTGTTCGCTCATTGGTCCAATGTCGGGCACATCGTGTCGCATTACGACACCGCTTAAATTAAAGTAAGCGGTTGGTCCGTAGGGCAAATGACAAATTACAAGATTGTCAGGAACACCACGATGTTCATGCACGAATATCAAATCGGTGACATCGTTTGCTCGGGCTGCATGCACCAATTGTTTCATTTCATAGTTACCACGATTCATGCGCTGAGCATTTGGAAACACTAAACGCAATTCTTTGACAAACATTTTCAATCGAGCCGATGGATCACGGGCAGTTGTGATCATAATTTTTGGATCCTCACAGCCTGCATACCGATACTCATCATCTTGTGATGACACTGTGTTTGCACCACCACTTATTCCAGCCAACGATTTGGATGCTTCTGGCCCTAAAATGATTTTTTTTTTTTTTTAATTTAATTCATCAATCGAAATTGTAGAAATTATTTACCTTCATCGGTCCATTTGAGTTTGTCCTGAAGTCCGATCGCCTCACGTCTCAGGTCACCATGAATTGGGATGCCTTCCTCTAAACTTCGCTTCAGTCGGTCTTTTTTCTCTTGCAACTGTTTGTGTTTATCTTCGACCGTTTTACGGTATAAATATTCACGTCGCAAACGTGCCTGCCGTCTCAACATTTTTTCGACTGATTTTTTTTCACGCTACTATTTCAAGATATTATTATTTGGTTTAACAAATTTACAACTATTTCGAGTAAACGATGTTAAGTTCTGCACGTGTTGTTAGACTGCCACAATGTTTATCTGTCAAAGCAATGGTGTTTGTCAGTCAATGTACGAGTTGATCGAATGCGATGTTTAAGGATGGTTCACATTACAAATGACAGTTACAGTTTATTCGATGAGTTTTTTTTTAAATCTGCATTTTCAATTTTCGTACTTTTTTCAGCATATTTTATTAATTGAAGAAAAATGTTTTTTTCTTTTCTTCCTTTTCAGAAATGCCGGTGCCAGATTTTTTGAAAGCCGTACTCCCATTGAAAACAATAGCAAAACAATTATGGGATTTGAATGCCGTTCCACGGCAACATGTTTTTAAAGTTCTATCTCTAAATTGTGAAGATGAATTAGAAAAAGAAAAATTATTGGAATTCACCACGGCCGAAGGTCAAGAAGAATTATTTACGTATGCAAATCGACCGAGACGTACAATTCTAGAAGTGTTACGCGATTTTCATAAATCAACTTCGAAATTAAATCTAGAGTTGTTGTTTGAAATTTTTCAATTTATAAAAACTCGCTCATTTTCAATAGCATCATGTGTTGAACATGGTAAACTCGAAGTGCTTGTTGCAGTTGTTCAGTACAAAACGATACTATCGACTCCAAGAAAAGGTCTTTGTTCAAATTGGCTGAAGCAATTAAAGTGTGGCGATGAAATTCAGGCGGTTATCAAAAGAGGTACATTCAAAATTCCAAGCGAAGAAAATTCAACAACACCGATCATAATGGTTGGTCCCGGCACCGGATTGGCACCATTCCGAGCATTTCTTCTGCAACAATTTTATCGACTCAAAAACAAGGCAAACGCTCAACATTTTCCATTCACATTATTCTTTGGATGCCGTGGTGAAAAATTGGATTTTCATTGCAAGTAAGTCAAGTATGTCATCACGACTGATGGGATATGTAATAAACAAAAACTTTTTGGCCGTTTACAGGGATGATTTACTGGAACTACAAGAACAAAAATTGCTGAAACTTTTCACCGCCTTCTCACGAGATCAGGATCACAAAATGTACGTTTCTAAATTAAATCATTTCAATGGGAAAATAACTTAAAAATTCAATTTCAGCTATGTACAACATCGAATTACCGAACAATGTGGATGGCTGCGTGAACAAATCATCGATAAATCGGGCGTATTTTTGGTGGCTGGAAATTCAAAAAATATGCCCACCGCTGTCAAAGAAGCACTTTCAGAAGCTTTAAACAATTCGGACTATGTGCAAACAATGATCGATACCGGTCGATATCAAGAAGAAACATGGGCTTAGATCAATAATATTTCCAGTATTTTTTGTATTGACAAAAATTATATTTAATTTTTTCTTCGGTTTGATTTTTATCTCTCAATATGTTTCTGTTTCATTTTATAAATAACTATGCGCTTAAACATAAAAAAAAAGAAAATTCAGTCGGAAAAGCCCCATACACGTAAATTGCCAGCGTCTCTTCTGCGATCGTTGTTGTCTTTGTCGTCGCATGCATAGGCCAATAGATATTGCTTTGGATGCCATGCAACGGTGAATGTGGCTGCATCAACTGAAATGTCGGCCACTTTTTCACCCGTTTCGGTGTCGCCAATGTCAATAAGTAGATCCTCACTTGCCGATGCCAACAGTCGGCCATCATGACTGAATGAAATGGTACGCACAGGCCAATCCAATCGTGAGAAAATGCGCTAAAGACGAACCAAAATGTTAATTTCTCCAAAGCAAAACAACTTCTTTTCAAAAAATAAAAAACACTCACCAGGCAAGCCAGTTCATTTGCATCCCATAACGAGACCAATGCATCCGCCGAACCGGTTGCAAAGTATTTGCCAGTTGGATCAAATTCGATGCAAATGCATGTACCAGGATGTGCCTTCAGCATGTGTTGTAATTCCAAATCGGGATAGCTGAGAACATGGATGCATCCTTGGCCATTGGTTAAAAAGAATAAATCGCTGGTGTTGTTCCATGCGATTTCGTTCACCTCAAAATTGAATTGTTCTTCGGCACGGATTTTATGCGTTCGTGTATCGATGAATGTAACTAAATCTTCTTTATTGCCAACAGCAATTGTGTGTCCATCTGGTGACCATGTGATATTAATATTTTCACCTTTTGTATTAATTGTTGTGGAACATTTTCCGGCTCGAACATCCCATATGCGTACTGTTTTATCACCACTGGCCGTACTCAAGAGGTCCGGCAGTGTTGCGTGCCAACACAACTGATCTACTGAACCAGTGTGCCCTCTGTACGTATTATCTTTGGCCTATAAATCAAAACATTGAAATGAAGGCGCCAAAAATGTTGGTTTAAAATACAACAAAAAAAAATGCTGTCTTACCAAACGATCACGATCCAATGCGAATATTGCCACCGATTTGTCAAACGAGCCAGAAGCCAAGCGTCTTCCATCACAATTCCATCCAACCGAATGAACCTTTTTAAAGATGTAAAATAAAAACAAAAATAATATTGATACAAAAGTTAGTTTTGGCCAACAACACTTAACCTTAAAAAAATACACATACACACATAATACAAACATTAAATGCCAAACAAAATCAAACATTTTCAGTATATTTTACCTTTGAAGCGTGTGCTTTTTGCTCTTTGCATTTATTATGACCTTTGAAATAGTCTTGCAGTTGTTCAACGCGCGAATTTTTACTGATTTTCATTTTGATTGATTTGTATTTGCGATTAAAAATACTAAAATATACTGCTTGTGTATATTGTTTCAAAGTGCCGCAACATAAATATTTTTGTAAATATCAAAATCGATGCACAGTCAGTGTGTCCAACTGTAAATATGAACTGTCAGAATCAAGAGTACGTTCAATGTAGACCACATTAGCACCAACACACACATACATACATCCGTACATAAACTCATTCATCATTATCTCCTCTAATTTGCAAATTTAAATCAATGTTTAGACAATGTTTAACGCAAAAAAAAACGAATTTAAATTCTTTTTTTGCGATAAATGCGAAGAAAAAAAAATCTTTTTGTAAAAAAAGTAGATCATTAGCAATTGTTCGTCTTTTATTCTATAATGCGGTACAATGCAAACAGCATGTTAATTTGTATGTGTGTTAGCTATTGTCAAAATTCACTAACATCATCAAAGTAAGTCGAAAGAAAAAAAAAACGATAAATGGATGAAAACTGAAACGGATCACACGGGATACATGTATGTATCAATGTGTTTGTGTGTGCATCATCAGTGCGAGCCTTTACACTCTGCAAATTGATAGTGACAACAACAATACCAGTAGCTGTAGTAAAAGCATTTGTCGTCGTTGTCGGTTGCGCTTTGGGAATTTTCAATATATATTCAGTGTATGTTTTGTGTTCGGTGGACTGCGGCAGAAAAACAACACAATTTTTGCTCGCATGTATTTACTTCCTAACTTCATTCTGACTAGCTAAATAGTACGCAACCAAATTTTTCTTTTGTTCACACACATACTTTATATATTCAGTGGTTTGTCATTGCATTTTGCCTAAAAAATTGTGTGGTCTATTGTGTTTTCATTTCCCAATCATTTTCGAATCGACATTTTTATTTCGTTTTATTAAATCCAGAGAAACAAATAAAATCCACAATTGTTTTTCGTTTTTTTTCTTTTCATTTTGTGTTTCAATTCAATCGTTGTGATCCTTAAAGAAAAGTGCGTTTTGTTTTCCATCTTTAAACGTTCGAGAAAAACAAAAGTTTACCCGACATTTTTTTTGTTTTAAATTATATTTTGTAAGTGAACATTTCAAATATTGTATTGAAAAATTGAGAAAGAGAACATTAGGTATAAACAACAAAAAACAGGTGTATTTAGCAAATTTTACGATGTATTGAATATCGTCGGAGAAAAAAAGGAAGACTTGTTTGGTTGTATCTTCTTCGGTGAAGGGTTTCGTGTGTGTGTCTTATGAAAACAATTGGTTTCTTTTGTGCGTGTTGTGGATTCATTTGCAAACACCCGGAAAAATTGATTGTGATTTTTTCCATTGTGGTCGCTGCTACGATGTGATTTTGTAACTTGGAACTAATGATTTGATTTTTGTAAGTTGCTAAATAACAACAACAGCCGAAATTCTAATAGAATCGTTAACGTGAAAAATGTGATATTAAAACGGAAGAGTCGAAGCAACTTCCTTCGATACATGCTTGATGAACACGTTCACTTACAACATCTAAATATAGCCCTTCCATTCATAAAATTCACAAGAACCATAAATTTCACAGTCACATAGAGGGACAGAGAGAAAGAGAACAGAACATGAGCTACACACAAACTCACCCATTCGCCGAAAAACTACCAACGGAAATAGTAGGAAATTGACGATCCGAACAATAACGAATAAGTTGATTAAAGTTCAGCACATGAAATGAAAAACTCGGATTAAAAGTGTATATTTACATAACATAAGTGTTGAAGTGCCATGTGTCAGCACTCGACAAACAAAACACACACTTGTCTATTCAATATATAGACTCTTTTTTTCGATTCTATCTTCCTCCTCTGCTACTTTTTTTTGATGTGCACACAATTGTGAAGTTATTGAAGATGAAGAAGAAGAAAAAATGATGTGAGAAAGAAAAACGTGCGAGTACGCAACCAATTATGAAGAACGTGATTTCGGGTATCGGTTTGTTGCCACAATTATTGACGCTCCAACGCCAATGCGATGTTACTCTCTTTCTTTTTTTTACTTTCTCTCGTTCTCATTCTCAGAATATATATATAGATGAATCGCATTTTCAACATATAGCAAACAAGATTAAAACACCTGTGTGTATGTATGATTGTTGGGATGTCATTGTGTCTGCTAATATTTATACGTAATGTGAGAATGTTTTCATCATATTCTTCATTGCTTTTTCTTCAATTCATCCATTTGGCCGTGTGAAAACATGTATGGAAACGGGCAATTTCGGTGCGAACATAAGAATCGTCCGTGTTGCAAAGGGTGTGTCAAGACGCAGCACATACGAATTCTATATGATGACATTTCAATGCATTGAATTCTCTAATTACTTATTCAAAGAGTCATATTTATCTATCTCTTTCCCTCCTTCCCTGATCATCAAATTTAGATTTAATCATTCAACTAAAAAAAAAAACAAGTTAACCACAGACGGTTTTCAGATCTCGTCTTTTGTGCGTATCGCATACACATCACAATAGATTAAATAAATCAATAGATAAACTATTGCTAATCTAGCTAAAGTACAACAGTCGGTAGAATCAACGGAACAAGCTGTTCAAATGTTTAATTCTGACCAATAGCCAGACGGGTATTGTGTTTTTTAAGCCAAAACGCGAAGCGATAATTCATTAAAAAAGTGATAACTGGCTGGGATCCGATGTAAAAAAAATCCCCGGAATCGCTAGACTATTGTGTAAATTGATATTTAATTATTGCATCACTCGAATCAAAATCAAATTAAAATGTTAAAATATCGAAACTTTCGTTTTCAGTTTTTTTTATCGTTGTACAAATGCTAAAATTGGCTCAACACGAATAATTCTTTCAACGATACTGTGTCTGTGCATGTGTTGTAATCTGAAAGATAAGCGAACGCAAAAAAAACACTAGCGTCTATCAATCAGAAAAATGCTTTTATTGCTCATGTTACAATTACAATGAAATACTTATCGCAATCAAATGTGTTCTGTTTATTGAACGCTCCAATTACTTCAAGCTCATTTTCAGAAATGTACAATACACATTTATTGAATATATACTATTTTTTATTGTTGTTCAATTTGCAGAAAACGAATGCAGCAAAGTATAAAAGAGTATACTATGCTCGAATCAATTCAAAAACCCACTTGAATTGATGCATAAAATGCCGGCTAACTAATCAAAACTAATAATTTGAATTTAAATTCATATTATTGACGGCGACTAAACGGTGAATCGAAAAAAAAAACTCTATAAATACTACTCGTAAATTTAAACCGCTCAATTTATTTGATCAAACACAAATATTTGTCGTACATAAATCAGATAAGGTCAATGATTATATTTAAATTGCCCAAAAGAGTTACGACCACTCTGTAAAAAAACACGTGTCGAACATTGGTGTTTTGAATTGAATCGACCAATTTATCCAATTTCACACGCATTTGAATGCGAGCCGCATCACTTTAAATAGCCTAAGCATTTGAAAAATGAGCAAACTACATGAGGCAGCGAGAATTGATAGTGATACAAAGCATTTAATTCAAATTCAAAAATAATCTGTCGAACATTTTAGCGCGCGTGTCTTCTTCATCTCTTCTTTTTTATCAATTGAGATGTATGCGTATGCATCCTATGGATTAAAGGCATATTGTAGACATCGACGGAATTCCGACAATAAACAAGTTAATCAAAAGCACTACTATTGACAGCACATTTGTAATTCAGTTTTTAAAAAATTGATTGGGCTATATTACGAGCATTTTCCATGATACATCACTTTAATATTACATTAGAAATTGTGCTTATTAAATTCTAAACTAATTTCATGTCTTTAATCAAATTACAAATCGATTTATGCGAGGGAGATAGGTTAGAGGCAGATAGTGCGAACGACAGAAAGAAAGAAACGACAGTGAGAGAGAAAGAAAGAGACAGGGAGAGAGAGAAAACAAGGCAGAAAGCATGAATGAAGAAGATAGAGTGAACGAGACGCTGTGTATCGTTGATGAATTTTTCTTCGGGTTCAACGTGCATGAGATCAACGGAATCGTTTTATTTTAATCAGCAATATGCTCAATGCTCATGCATATGTGAACGTATGTAATGTTTTCACAAATGGGATCCGAAGCACGTTTGTCTAATTAGGTTTAAAATTCTCAAACTATCTATCTCTGCTGCGCCTTTTAAATCGAGTAAAAAAAAGAGAATGCGAGATATTTCATTGTATTTCTAGGGTGTGTGTGTATGTCTGTGCAAATAATGCAGAGAATAAAAGACCCAAAGTATGCTGTTGTAAAAATGATAAAATGTGTATTCAAAAAATGCCATAATTGATTTCCTTCACTGGCAAAGCATTGAAAAAGGTTTCCGTTCTATGAACATTGATAGAATTCAACGATTTCAAGGATTGTGGGTGATTCACATATTTGTGAGTGTGTTTTTTTTATCTCAAAATGCAGTGACATGTCCCATTCGTATACTTGACCACATTTTGTGACTAATTGAGATGATAATTTTCTCAGGGCAATAACTAATGCGACACGGTTGTTGATGAGATCAAACTAGTGTAAATAGAGCCATTAAATAAAGTCATACAAACATCAGCAGTTCTCAAAATGTTGATTAGATGAGCGTGTGTTTGAGTTGCATACATCCAACGTTGGTTTTGTATTTCAAGCACAAAAATACGTTATCACATTGCGTATATGTTTGGTGTTTGCTGGATGCGTTCGAAACATTACAGAGATTTGCATGCAACAAAATACAGAAAATGCGCACAGGTGAAGAGCACTTGTGGTGATAATTATTAACTATCTTCAGACACAAAACTGGGAACGCAAGCTTGAGCATACATAGATTGCCATTAGGCGCCACATGATTTCATATTGGCTGACGCTGCAGTAATGTGCCCTGCAAACAACTCACAACCAGATAATTTAATCACTTGCCCATCCACACCAAATATGTGTTGAACAAGTTGTGATAATTCACACAACCAATCATACGTCGTTCGTCTGGCATATGTGCCAGTTTTGCATACCGTACGACGATGATACCAAATTATTTTTTGAATTTTTTTTTTTGCCGAAATTTGATCACGGCTCATTTCATCTATATAAATTGAAATCCTCTCCTATCGTAAATTGACTCAAACATGCCCGGTTGCAGATCATTTTACACGTAATCATATATGCAATAAATAGCTGATGACGTCATTGAACTGATTGATTATAAGCCATGCATACACACTTTTTAATTGAATGAGAGGAAATATTGATGTACATCATCATATTGCAATTTCAGTTGCTGAAAATAAATCAAAATAAATTCACTTGCACGCAACATGTTATGCAGTTTTTGTTTAGATAATTTATTCGAAAAATCATCATGAGTTTGTTTATATGGTAAACTTTTAAGCAATTTCATGAATAATCATATCATGAACCAAGCGAGAGAGAGAGAAAGAGAGTTCAGTGCTCGAAAATGATGACACATTCTGATTGTTCGAATTACATCCTTTCTGGTTTTTTTTTCTATTGATCATATTATACGCTTTAAAGTTGTTTGTGTATCGTTTGCATTTACCTTTTCATTTTTCTCATTTGTTCTGATGTTCATTGAATGGGCTCGAGCCCATTTATTCGCTTGAATGAATAGAATTGAAACTCACAGGGAGAGAATATGAAAAAATAAAACACACACACACACCATAAAATAGCATTTATGAGATGGCAAATATCAACGACAAAACGTCTCAAACAGAATAATCAAAGCATATAGCTCATTATCATGTCGTTTGTCTGCTGTGTCGCATGCATATTGTTGCGTTTATGTGGTAATGTTACTTAGACTCACATACACAATGGTACCATTCCCAGAATAATGATGAAAGATAACAAGCTGAGAGAGACAGACACAGAATGTTAAAGAGTGCTGCCATAAAAGATAGAAACCATTTCAGCAAAAATGACACAAAAAAAAAAATACATTTTCCGTTTGAAAAAGAAATTCATGAAATTTCCGAAAATATATTCGCATATGATTCCAGCCAATTTCCTTTCTCTCTTACGTCATCGTCATCCCTTTTTTGCGCATTACCGTACCAAATGCATGGAATTTGTCTTTGAAACTCTTTTTACGACACATTTTTTTCCAAAAGAAAGAAATATTCGCCGGTTTATTACAATGTGAAAGACTAAACGTCAGTACATCCAGTCTATCAACAATAGTTCAATGTAGGGTTGGCCGGTTTTGATCATCACTTGGCATTTTTCTTTGTCCAATGCCATAATTTGAACGCATTTCGCTAAAACTTCAGCTATAGTTTCACTTAAAAACTTAAATTATGGATGCAGACAATCTTGCTCAAATTATAGATGCAGACAAGTTGAAGAACACTTGAAAATTATGAATAATTCGCTCAATGGTGGACAAAAATGGAGATCGACTGGGGAATTATCACCATATTTCTAACATATGTTTTCGAACGAACTTTTATACATGAAGATAGTTCGAATGAGATTAGTTATCATTTTACTATTTCAACAGCAACCACCACCATTTCATTACTTATTTTTTTTCTCTTTTTCTCTGTTTGCAGATCATCAAACGCAGTTTCCACCTATGTTAAGGTAAACTTGTAAATAGTGTTAGTTACTGCAACGGGCTCGAAGTGATACGTAAATTATCGGAAACGCACGAACACATATAGTGAAATCAGCATGTTTCGTGAGGAGGAAACACTTTTGGCTAGTGCCAAAAATGGAAATGCGCCAACAATTGTTTCAAGTAAGTCGAATATAGAATTTGATTTAATGTTGTGAGTTTTCTCATTCCTCTCAATCTATCTATGTTAAATATAGTAATAGACATTTTAAGCATTCTTTTCTGTTCCGAAGGCATTGGTTGCTGTTGTTAGGGTAATTCGTTGTTTGAATGTGTTCATTCCTTAAATGTTACCATCAGTGTTCGGGGCTCACACAGAGTGGTATTGTTACAAGGAATTCATTATGGATTTTTCCCTTTGTACATTTTTACATGGGAACAAAATCCATTTCCTCAAAATTAATTGCAATCGAAACATTCCAACAGCCGACACATTTCGACACAGTAGCTACCTGGGCCAAATATTTCTCTATGCAAATGGAATTTGTCACAGATTTAATGCGTTTTATGTGGAAGGCACAAAGTTCGAAAATCTTTTGGCTAAAGTAAAAGGCGACGATGCGTACACTATTAGGTTATCTATTTGGAGATTTTTTTTTTGGTAGAAAGAGGGTGCGTCATAACAGCCGTCACGTCAAATGAAGACGAGGAAAATTAATGATAGCATGTTAGGTGATAGAAATGTGTTCATTCGTCGAATGAATTGAAGATTTCAACGGTAAAAAGAAATTTTGAACCAAACGAAGAATGGCATAAACACTTTGAGCTCATTCAATACAAAGTGTGTACACTTCATTTAGTTATCAATTGTTGCGTTTTTCCACTCTTAACATTTAATTTGATATAATTGCTGTCATTAAGTTGTGATCAGATGGACGGGTCAATTACAATGTGTATCCAGTGAATGAGGCCCCCTCTAAAAAGTGAAACGAAACATAAATTATATTTTATTGGCGCAATGACTTCTTTATCCATTTTATAAAATTATCGGCAAAAAAAAACGAAAATAGAAAAGATGATACGTCAAATGATTCGATTGCATGCGTATCGATCGCATTTGAAAATTGCAAACATTAAATGAATCGAATCGGAGCGATGCACTTCATTGACTTGAAATAATATCAACTAAAACTCATCTATACACACACATGCGCGCGCGTCTGTCGATTATCGGAAAAGGAAAACTTCGATCGCTGATGTTACAATTCAATTTTTGAAAATATTTACACTGAATCGTCTGAAAAAAATTGTCATGTTTCTTTGTAATCTTCGTCGTCCAAATTGCTGTGCACACAGTTTACTGTAAAATCAAACTAATTGATGGAAATTTTCATGACTATTTCTGTCCCTCTTCTGTCGTTCCTTTCGCTTCAACACTTTCGTGTTATGTTTCAAAATTTAATTTTTGTCGCTGGGATTCACATTTGCACATTCAACAATTTCTTTTTAGCTGTGTTGGCATTTTCCATTCGTTGCGATATTATATTTAATCGCATTAGTAACAGTTTAAGATGAACGTAATAGGGCTCAAATCTCAAGTTTGAAATAATTTTAAATCCTCGCAATTAATTCCGAAAGTTTTATTTGAAAATCTCTTTTATGTTTACATTCTTGTAATTGTGTGACATCTGCTTCATTCACGGCATCTTTGTATCTTTTTTTCTATATAAATTCGGTTACTCCATCAAAACGCACATCATGAGCTATGAGCCCGTGTTGTTTGTTTGAGCAACTAATAAAGAGATTTCGAGTCGTGTTTTTGGTTGCGTTAGCAGAGAGAAGTAAAAGAATATGCGGCTTCAGGCATTCACTCCCTCTTTCTCGTTTGCTTACTGATATTTTAAAATGCATTAAATTCTCGAACGAAGAGAGAGAAAAAAAGCGACCCACAATGTATAGCGTCACACAATATGAATGAATACTTCTGATTAATTGCTGAATCTCATCTTTGCCTATCTTCCAAAAAGTACGATGTTCACCCGCGCCTTTCATGTTATGTTTGCCACGAAATGTTTTGTGTATGATAACAATGTCGACCAAATATTTTGAATTGGTTTTAGTCGTGCTCATTTTCCAAATAACAAAAAATAAAATCATATTACAAATTAAGAAAAAGAATGAAAATAAACTGTATACGTATACATTTGCAAAAATTCAACAGATTGAATTATGGGCATCGAAAATGAACGACAAGTAAAGGGGAAAACCGAATGAATACCGAACCGAGAATGAAATGTTATAGAGAATGCAAGAATAGAATTATAAATACGCGTTCGCGAGACAGAGGCAACACAGAAAAGAAGAATGAAAACGAAAAATTGCTGGTATTCGCAGATTTTGTGCGCCCTTCATTTGATCATGCTGCGTAAATGTATGCATGTGCATGCGTCTGCATTTTAAGCTGCTTGCCATTTGGTTTAGCTTTCAGATTAGTTGAGGTGCTGTTTTCGTTTTTGATTTATTCTTTTGTTGTTGTTTTAGTTTGGCGTCTTCTTTTTTCATCGCTTGGTCACATAAACAAGAATTTCTATGTGTAGATGTATGTGTTTTCGATTACATATTTTTTTTTAAAGAGAAGGTATTCACATTTGTTTTAGATGGCAGCAATGGCGAAGTGGAAAAAGCACCATTTATTGCCAAACCAGTACGGCTCACTCCAGCTTGGGAAGCGAACAACTTACCAAACGATGAACTAAATTTTAGAGGTATTTCTAGTTTTTCGACATTTTACCATTCGCATTCGATTCACTTCAGATGCAATTTTTAATTCATGTCTTCACTCGTTGGAGTGTGTTTGGTGTTTCGTGTGTAATAAATGAATTTTATTCTTTTTTTTACTTGATAAAATTTTCAAAGGCATGACAATGGAGCGAGCCACATTGGAAATAAATCCACCACGAGACAAATTAAAAATTATTTATTTTATACTATTGTTGCACGGAATCGGCACTTTAATGCCATGGAACATGTTTATCAATGCCAAAAGTGTAAGTTTTTCAATCAATCAATTGAGTTGATTTTGTGATGGATTTTTGATTTTTTTTTTGTTCGGGTTACTATTGCAGTATTTTGTTGGCTATAAATTGAATGATAGTTACACGATGGTTCATACGGATTATGTTAAACATTATGATGGAACTTCAACACTAGCAGCACAAATTCCAAATTTGGTCCTTAATTGGCTCAACATTTTCCTAAATTTGGGGTAATTATTATTTATAACTCGATATTTAACGTTTCTTTGAACGAAAAAAAAATTGATTTGATTTCTTTTTTTAGTGGAAGTTTGACGCCTCGCATTGTGTGGAGTATTATAATTGAGGTAATCGTTTTCATTGTAACCGTTGGACTTGCAATGATCGATACGCATGAATGGCCGGGAATTTTCTTTTGTGTAACCATTGGATCGATCATCATTTTAAATAGTATGTATCATTTAATAATTTGGTGATGTTTTCGACCGAAAATAAGAGTGTAATTAACATCAATTCTATCTGTGTCTTCATAATCGTTTAGTTGCTGGTGGAATTTATCAGAATTCCGTATATGGTATGGCTGCGAAATTGCCATTCAAATATACGGGCGCTGTGGTATTGGGTTCAAATATTAGTGGCACATTTACATCGATTGTTGCTATTCTCAGCACATATTTTGCATCATCTTCACGAACAGCAGCTATATACTATTTCATTGCGGCTATGTTTGTATTGTTGGCTTGTTTCGATACATACTTTGCATTACCTTTGAACGTATGTTATTTGAATAATGTTTGGCCCCATTCATTTATAAATTAAATGGTAAATAATTTCGCAAAATTTACAGAGATTCTATCGTTATCATGAGCTGATGCATGAAAAAGAAATGGAAAAAGTACGGAAATTGGGTGGATCAACAGGTCGGCCACCATACTGGAGTATCTTCAAACAAGCATTTCCACAACTGTTTAACGTTTTCTTCATATTCTTCATCACATTGAGCTTATTTCCAAATGTTCAATCAAGTATGTCTTTTTTTTTTTTAAATTGCAATTACGTTTAAATAAACGATTAATATTTTTTTTATAGATATAAAACGATCTGACGCAAATTTCTGGATTACGGACCCTGATTTGTATATGTCCGTTTTATGTTTTTTGACATTCAATGTTTGTGCCATGTTCGGCAGTTTGACAACATCATTTATTCAATGGGTAAGATGGCGTTTTTTCTTCAATTAAATACATATTTTAATGTTTGGTTCTCAATTTAGCCAAAGAAAAATTATCTCGTATGGCCGGTGGTGCTGCGAGTTGCTTTTATTCCGTTGTTCTTATTGGCCAACTATCACCCATTGGATACTAAGCGAAACTTACCGATTTATATCAATAATGATTATGCATACTGGGGTATCGGGGCTGCAATGGCATATACATCTGGTTATTTGAGGTAATTGTCTCATTTCATCAAAATTAACATCAATTCAATTCAAATGACGTCTTATTTTTCATTTTCAAAACTTAGCTCGTTGGCAATGATGTACGCACCACAAACAGTTCAACCACAACATGCACAAACAGCCGGTATATATATTTTCTTATATTTTTCCATTAATTCTTTCAAAAACTCATGCTAATCGCACTTTTTTCCTGGTCTCGTTTAGGTATGTTTGCTGCTGCTATGCTTATTACGGGAATTTTCGCTGGTATTGCTGCATCCAATGTGTTCCCAATCATTGTGAACGCAGTATCATGGTAACATATGTGTTCATATGCTGTTTCTAACAGCATACACATATTACCATTTGTTAAAAACATAAAAAACATTTGTTAAAACGAAATTGTTCTATTGAAGCATCATTTACATATGTTTGACTGAAAAGAAAAACAACTTCCCTTTTTTTAAATTATCGACTAAAAATACTGTAAAAAGAAAATTTGACAAGAGTCCAAATAGCAAAAAAAAAAAATACAACAAATGGGAGAATTTTTTTTTTAAAGAAAAACAAATAAATTACGACTAGACTACCGTTTGTTTGTTAACTATCTCTACTCTTTTTTACTTGACCCGTGAACAGGTTACATAATATATAGATATAAAAAAAAAATCATCTCCGCCGATAAGCTCTTTATTTCAATAAATTGTAAATTCAACCAGTACAACAACAGGAGAAAAAAAAACCGAAATGTCTCATGTCAAACTTACTCGTGTATTTTAAGAACTGTCTTTGAATGAATAAATAAATTTATATATATGAAAAAAATCGAAATAACAAACAAAATAACATTTATAAGAATGAAGCTAACTACCAAAATTTATATATAAATATGTATAATAACACAATCATAATCATTTATTCTTTCATTCGATCGAAAACGAACTCATTCATGATTGAATTGCATTTACAAGAGACGATTTCACATAAGAATATTCAAGCAATTTCATTTGACATCGAAACCTTTTTTATATCATCAACACATCTTCCGTCACTTCGTTGTCGAAACACAATCCCAAAACCAAAAAAAAAACAAACAAACAACTAATAACGATTTTGCACGATGAAAACTAATACAACTTTTGTTTCTTTCATTCTTTTTTAAATAAGTTTTTTTATAGGATTTTTTTTATAAAAACTAACATTTAGATTAAACTATTAATTATTAGAAAATTGTCCTAACAAGAATTTTTCCTTAAATGATAAGCCAGTTGAAATGAAGTTAAATACGAATCAATACATTTGATTTGCGATTCATATTTTTGATTTGTAAATGTAAATTTACTATTTATATTCACTTTTCAAATATCTTTTTTTTTATTAGAAACTAATATCACACTATTCTTCACCTGGACAAAACCAGACAAAACAAATCATTATGAAACTATAAATCATTAGCTATTGGAATTTTTTTTATACAATATGCATAAAAAGCAGTTAAAAAATGATGAAACCCTCTTATGACTATTATTGAAATAAATGAAAAAAAAAACCAATCATAGACATTTGTAAAATTGTATAATACCAGAAGAGATACTATTTCATACGTTACGATACAGAAAATAGTAGTTTAATTTTTTTTACTGAATATTCATCCACTGCTAGAAGAAGAAGAAGAAGAACCACTGAATCTTGTAAATCTTGGTAAATACTTTTTGACGCGCTGTGACGTCTACTAATAACTATAAAAAAGCAATTTTTTCATGAAAATTCTCAATTTAATTCCTCTGTAGACTATATCATATATAGCTCGTATGTTGCACGAGCATTTTCCAAAAAAAAAAATCCCAACTCTAAATTTCTATTATATCGATGAAGCCGCGATTCCATTTTCAATCTAAATACTATCGATCTTCTTTTCAAAAATAATCAAACCGTAAAAAACATGTTTACTTAACCAGAAGAGAAAAATGTTTGATGATGAACTGTTATCCACATTGCAACTCTCATACACCGACATTAACGCACTGAAGTTTTTTTTTATTTTGAAGATGGGACTACGCGGTTAAAATGACAATAAATAAACCAAAATAAAAGAAGAAGAACCAAATATACTCTTCTCTTCGAATAAAAAAAATACATAATCAAATCCATTGCGTTCTTTCCAATGCGCAATACATATATAAAAAACAAAACCTCCAAAAAGAATTATAATGGACAATAAACTTGCTTGTAGGAGAGAACATAATAATATTAATTACGCACATTGTCATTTTTTCAAATCTTCGCATGCGTTATCGCAAAGATAACAATACAACAACAAGAAATGATATAACGGGCGAATAGACGTCAAAAATATTGTATTGACCAAAATAAAATCAAGATAAATTTGATTCGTTATTTGTTAGAAGAAAAAAAAATTAAGATTATTTTGTTAATTTCGTTAGATATCGTAAGAAAAGCATGAGTATCGAGAAAAACATTTTTTTTTTTCAAAATGATGAGGTCAATAGATAACAAATGTGTGTAACTTTTTTTCGATTTTCTTAATAAAAAAAACAATGGCTTTTTTTTCTTGATTCGATCTCGATATTCAAACTCGATTCAGGTTGAACGAACAAAAAAAAACTGGAAACGAAAAACTAATTTACGCTCCTTTGTGCCTCATTGCAATCATCGTTTTATCGTAATTATTTCGTAATGCATTTTATGTTGGCTCTTTTCTTTTTGAAGATTTATGCGTATTAAAATATGAATAAAAAAATCACTTTAATAATAATTTATTTGAATGCGACGGTGTGCATTTTTCATTCCAATTTCGTTGTTGAATTTTCACTCTTAGACGCTGCTGCAGTAAGTAAAACAAATCCTATCAAACACATGTGCCCTTGAAATCTAACACTAGACAAACAAATGATAAGGTATAAACATGAGACTTTTTTCATTTTAATTTTATTGCATTTTCTTATTTGTCATAGCATATTTTTGATATTTTACACAATTTTCATGATTGAGAAACAAAATAAGTATCTAAAAGTATACTTGTTTGTTTTCTATTGACCAAAAAAAATGAATCTGATTGTATGTTTTGATGTGGTTGGTGTTGTTTTTGTTTGGAAGTAGGTTCCATGTCAAATTTTGGGATTGCTAGACGTGGGAGGGATTATTCAATCAATAGCGAATAATTTTGAGGTTTGGTCGATAATTGCAATTTCCGTTTCATATACGGTTTCCCTGTTAATCTCAAAAACTACATCACATAAACCTTTTCGATTTTTGGCTGAACAAAGAGCTCGTTTGTCTTAGGGCACACAATGATACCATTTTCTTTGGATAATTGTGATAACGCCTGTGAAGATACCAAATAACAAACAATTGTTAAATTATATTGTCTGTGTCGTTAATTTTAAAATGCAAATAAATTTACCTTCTGTCCGAATATTTGACCATTTGGAAGCATCATTGGAATATTATGCTCGTTCAATGGAGCTCCCGTAACTCTGTAAAAATGACAATGACAATAGATTGTTTGAAAGAGGCAATTATGTGGTGTATACAAAGACACACAAATGTGTTAATTACCTGCATATGAGTCTGCTCTGTGCACAATGTGAATATGGTAGATTTTCGGCGATACGATTTAAGCTTGGCAGACAAACGGGACAATTATCATTTTTGTTATTTGATGAATAGCATTGTGGTGTTTTTAATGCCGATAAACCAGCCTGAACCACAACACTCAACACAGATTGTGATGACAATTGAAACAGGCGATAATTTTCCATTCTATAATTTATGACTAAATCATCCCAACGTGCAATATCAAACAGTGATTTATATGGCTCAACATCTGAAAGAAAATGAAAACGACAACCAAAATGAAATCGCATTTAAAAAAAAGCATGTATTGCTTCACATTTGGTTTCTCTTTTGTTGTGTTTGTTATTTACCTGTATTTATTTGGAAGGCCAACAAGGCCATGCATTGGCTAATCTCTTTCAATTGATCATTTTCAAATGCTGGAAAAAATTTGCGTGCATGTTTAACGGCACCCAAACGATCCTCATTTCGTATGAGCTCCACAAATTCTTGTACACGCAATTGAAATTCTATATTTGAGCTGATTTTCCGAAGTTTCGATTTGTTGTCATTACACCATGCTATACATTTGGCTGTATTGTGTCGCCGTAAATCCTCTTCAACTTCACGGGTCGTTTGGAATATTTCCAAATTGGTTAAATCTTTGATACCTTTTCGAATTGCAAGCCGTTCGGCCGTTTCATAGTAGCCCAAACGCAAAAAATGCTCGACTATCATTCGATCTAATCGCGTTTGTCGCCATTCATTTGAATAAGCAATTGTTAGTTCGGGTGGAATACTTTGAACAACCGATTGACGAACATGGTCCAAGCGACGTTTACACGCTTGCACCGCTGATAATTCGTCTGATATGCTTTCATCAGCCTTACGTTTTAATACTTGTAACCGTTCAACAACACCACCAAGTAATCTTGTTATCTCATCAGCTGATTTTGATTCCAGGCCACGCTCCAATTCATTTGTCACGTTTTGTATTTGACTTAGTTCACGATCCAATGTCTTTTGTGCAATACGAAATTTCTTATTCAAAATTTCATACGGTACCTTTAATAAAGATCGAAAAAAAATTTAAATGTTAGAAATTCAATTGAATTTGGTGTTTGAACGAGACGAGAGCAGAAAAAAAAACACAACGAGACACAACGAATGTAGAGAAAAAAAAGCAATGTGCAATGCAATACACACACATTTATATTTATTTCAAGGCCACTTTGATCGTCTTTGAAGTTAACGTTACGACAAAAAGAGAGAAAAAAATAACATTCTCCATTCTCCACATTTAAATGGCATTTTAATTGGTTGACATTCTATTGTTTCAATGAAATATTTGCACAAATATTTTTGAAACAAATAGCAATTGCAATAAACAACAAAAATTAAAACATAAATCTACATAGAAGAATAAAAGAATACAACATCGAATGATGATTTCATCAAATTGTGTATGCAGAAAAATTCGACGTAGTTAAAACTCTCACTCCACCAACATAACATATATATACACCACAAAAACAAAACCAATAAATATTCCAGTGTGTGTCATCAAATTTTATCTCTATCAACCAAATATATTAATTTTTAACATTAAATGTTTGCAATTTAAACATACCCACAATGGTATGTGATATTTGATTTCAAAAATAAATTACGTCGCAAAACACATTCGACTCCCTTAATACATATCAATTCAGAAATGTTGTCAATTGAAAAATATTATAATAAATTCTCACCTTTAACGTTGGATATTCCATCGCCTTGAGATCAGACATGATGGTCAAAAACAAAACAAAAAAAAATAATTGTCAAAATATTACACACAGCTGTTCAGAATTTGTATGATGTTTCGTAGATTTATTTACTTTGCCTTCTAAACAATCGATAAATGTTTTTGTGCCTATTTCCACAGCAAATGATTTTGTTCATATATTCGAGTAGTGTGCACACAAAGAGATTGCTTGTATATAGCATTTACCAGCGCACCGTCTGATAGCACATAAAAAAGACCTTATTTTTCTCTCACTCTTATTGTATGGCACATCTCAAAAAAAACTCTCAGCTGTCACATACAGCAGCGCAATACAGATTTTCGTTTGTCACGATGTGGCGCTGCTAGTCAATTGGACAAAATAACCAATACACAGTGTGTACCAACATGAGAATGTGCAAAAAAGCGATCAAAACTTGGTTCGCGTCATTTTCACATCTGCGGCCATTTTAAATGCTACGAGTGGGGTTTTCAGGACGCGCTTCGACAAAAAATTGTCAATTTTCTACTGGAATCACATTCGCCGGATGAAATTTTGTGCAAGAAGTATTGTAGTCAGTGTTTGTTTTGATTTAGTGTACGATTCAAAAAAGTATCGGCATCAAAGTTTTCGGTAAAAAAAACGAAACCAACGTGTGTTGTTGAACGATTTTTTTTTTTTTTTTTGAATTAAAAGAAGAAGAAAAAATTTATCACACAGTGCAAAGAGTCAAAATCGAGAGTGCGAGAGAGTACAGCGAACAGAGCGTATAGTGTGTATTAGTGCGGTTTGTTCGAATGAATTCAACCTGCATGCTACTGTCGCCACCACCGCAATAAAAATCATCCATCAACCGAAAAGCAAAAGACAAACTGCAACATTGAAACTGTTGTTCGCAATATACGATAAAACAGTAAAGAGCAGAGCAAAAAAAAATATATACGTAGCAAAGCCAATTCAATCAAGCAAAATAAGAAAAAATAACGCAAATTTCACCGCGAAAAAAAGCAAAAAAAAAAAAAAAAACGAAACGAAAACGTTCGGCGAAGCGGGACTGTTTGTTTGGTTCTCTCGATTGGAAATATTTCTAGTGCAAAACACATTATATAATTTTATGTTAGAAGCGTGTCTATTAATTGCCTCCAAATTTCGGATTTTCATTTTGTCGCCTGGCCAATTGGCTCTATTGTTTGGATTTCGGATGAATAGTGAAATTGTCCTGATAGCTGTTGCATAGCAATTGTGGTAAGTGTGTGTTTTTTTTTCTGTATAGAACTCGTTCCGTTTGTCTAAACAATATTGGCCGCATTGCTAGTTTTTTTTTTCTTCTCATCTCAGTTCGCTTGTAGGCTCGTTTATTTGGTTAAGTTTGTGTCGCGTAAAGTTAAGTTTATAAAGCTAAGTGTCTGTTGTGCGACAACTCGAACGTCTCCATTCACATTGCCACTATATAGTGTTGTCGAATAAGTGAACACATATCCACTGAGAAACAATGGCGTGTATGTGGCGCCGGTCGTAATATTTCCCGCGTGCAATTTTTTGCCATCCATTTGCCATTTTTTTTTTTTAATAAATTTTTTTTTTTTTTTTTTTTCAAATATTTATGCAGAGTGAGAGAGTGAAAAAAAGAGAAATAGAGAGAGAGCGAAAGAAAACAAACATGAAAATGATAAAATGTAAATTGTGCGGTATTCCATGGAATCGGACGAGATGTGTATCCGATTAGGTTATCCAAATGTGATGGAAGTACCATATATATTCTGGTCAAATAATCAAAATTGTGAATATACAAATAGTGTGACATATTACCATATTTAATTTGGATTAAAAGAATCGGATTCGATATTTGTGTGTCAACAATAGCGCAAAGCGCGCGCTATAGCACTTTCCAGACACAGGGAGAGAAGCGTATTACGATTATCCAAACCAATAATCCCGATCATTGACAGTGCATGGGACACATAGTAGTGCGCAAGCAAAAAAAAAAAAAACAACAGAGAAAATGACAAAATGAAATGCGAACAAAAATGGAAATAAAAAAACGTCCGACACCAAAATAACAACAAAAACAAACGAACGCTTTTAATCATCGTAAATAATAATAAATTCGTATATGTATAAAAGAGACATATAGTTATGAAAAGTCGTGTTCTATATTTATGACTCAAGTCAAGTATAATTGAATTCCAAATGGCCGGAGCGCAAAACTTGTCCGACCAATTTCATTTCATATATACGAAGCGTATTCATACAGTTCAATATGCGAACGGGGCAAGAGTAAATGAAACGAAGCATAGCTATATTGTACAATTTGTGTGAGCCTCTTCTTCTTATTCGCTTTTTTTTCTTCTCTCATTCGAATTCATTATCTTTTTTGACTTCTCTGACTGTTGCTTACTCTTCTTTTTCTGATTCGTTGTCGGGTATGCTGTTCTGGCGGCGGCTGCTGCTGCCGCCGCTGCTGCCTGAACTCTCCGTTTTACGTTGCTCAAGACAATTGTGTATAAAAGCAGCATGTGTGCATATATATATAGATAAATTGTTCGTTCATTCGCTCCATTCCATTTTATAAAAGTTGGCAAGAAGTCATGATTCTTGTCGCACATTTTTCACCTTGTTGTTTGAGCGTATTGTTTGGATTCGCCGTGTACCGAACATTTATCGACACTGTGTTTGATTTGGAAATGTCTCTCACTCTCTTTACTTTGCGTTCCTTATGTGTGTCTCGGAACTCATTTCATGACACTAACACAGTTTTTAGCAATTTCAAAGTGCAAGCATGAGAAAGAGATAAAAAGATACATCTCTCTCATTTTGATCTTGTTCGTTTTACCATATATAAAATATATTGCAACGTTTGTGCGCTGAAATGTGGTACGATTGTCGTTTAATCTATGCTGACCGATTTAACATCCGTAGACACGAAATGGCTCACTGACTTTTTAATATTTGCAAATATAAACCAATAACAATTATATATGCATGCAATACATAGAAACGTATTAAAATCATTGCTTTGCTGTATCTTTTTTGGTTTTTTTTTTCTTTGTTGTTTTTTTGATTCGTGGAATAACGATCATTTACATTAAGACGAAAATGTGAATTAAAGTGATGAATAGACTAAAGATAGATAGATAGAGACACAGACAGATACAAAAATTCGACTTTGCGACTTTGTCGTAAATAAAATAGTCTTGAATATGATTTAGACGAAATGGAGTACGCACAAATAATTTGAAATGGACAAATCAACCTAGTTCAAAGAGGAAACCGAGACAGAGAAATAAAAAAGAACTGAGACGAGCAAGAGAGAACGAGAGATTGAGATTAAACGAGCGAGAAAAATAAAAATTCAAAAGACAATTTTAAAAGAAGAATGAATAAGAAGAATCTTCGTCTTCGTTGCTTCTTCGTTCATGACGAAAATACACCAACGAACGATACAGTAACAAAAAAAAACATAGGTACTGAACGAATGAACGAAATGCAAAGAACACGACGAAGATATTGTGGCGTGTGTATAGAAAATGAGTATATATATAAACGTATAGTTTATGAAAAAAAAGAAGCGAATGCGAAAGGTGCGCAATAGCCTCACCGGTTGTAATAACAATCAAATAACAACACACAAAGTACGTACAAAACAATTCTCGGGCTTTCGGCGCGCTTCATTCGATCTGAAAGCATTCGTGCACACTTGATACACATTCATAGGTACCCGAAACAAAATGGAACAAGAAGAATAAAAAAAAGAGAAACACGAAACGATGACGGCGACGACGGCGACGACGACGGATAGAGAAAGAGAGCGAGAGTGACATAAACATATATACAATGCGCGCGCGAAGGGAAGAGCAAAGTAAAAATCATTCTGTGAAAAGTGTTGTGCATAAGATATATCGCACGGCTTATACTTCTCTATAGCTTTCGTATGCACAGCAAGCCATTCAGTCAGTCAGCCAGTCAGCCAGCCAACAAGCAAACAAACATTGTATGTATCTATATTTCTGCCATCATTTCCATTAAATTTATAATATTATAGGTGTACACATACCTATAGAGTATAGTCGCTCTATTCGATTCGTGCTAAAAACCAACATGCACACGATACACAAAAAATGATGAATACAAAGAAAGGAGGAAAAAAAATTAAAAATAAAAAAAAATGTAAGAAGAGAAAAACAACAACAAAAACGGCTACAACGACAACGACAACGACGACGAAGCACAGCGACAGTAGAAACAGCAACGACAACAAATAAAAAGAAACGAACAAAAAATGAAAGAACTGAAAATATCTATAGATCTATCTTCATAGCCATTCATGCCTTTAACCTATAGCCGCGAACGTATAGAGCCACGAAGTGCCTCCATCAGCCTTTATAGTGTATTACATCGCATCAATGTATACACACACTTAGCGCGCGCGTTTGGCGTGTGGGGTAAAGCTGTTAGCACATAGCACCAAAACGCAAGCATTAGAGAGAAAGATATGGTGATAGAGCATTTATAATATTTAAACGGTATTACAAACATTGTTTTTGTTTCTTCGTTCTTTCTTTATTTTCGAAATGAAGTAATAGACGAACATAGCCGATTTGATTGTTGTTGCTGTTGTTTTCGTTGTTATTCATTTTCTTTTTCTTCTTTTTTGCGCCCATGGACTTTTTCCTTACTCTTTTCCCTCTAATGTGCTTCGATCTGGCCGATTCGATTGCTTTGCTGTTTTGACTTGTACATTTGTGTGTCGCATGTGAGCATTATCCATTGAGCTTATGAATGTTGATATATATCGATACGTTTTGTTACATATTTTTTTTCTCATTCGTCTTTTTCTCATTATTATTTTGCTGACTTGCGGTGACGTTCGTTAGAAATGGTGTGTTGTTGTTGATTATCTTTCTTGTGTATATGCGGTTTTTCATACTTATTATTTCTATCATCGTGTGTTATTTCTTCTTCATTTTTTTTTTCCCTTCTGTTTTATTCCGTATTGTTTCTCGTCGGTGATCTTCACGTAGTAATATGTTTTCTCTCCTTTCTTTATTTTGGCTACAATATAAATGTAGCATTTCCGTTCATGTACTGGAATATGCCATATGGACGAATGGCTTGCATTGAATGCAAAAAAAAAACACTTTTCATAATTCGTTATTCGTCTATACGAACTCATTTTTTTCTTTCTCTCCATCATTTTGCTTCCAAAAGAGTCGCAATTATAAAAAAAAAAATAGTCAGATTGTTTTTTTTTGCACTCATAATAATAATAGTAATAATGTTGTTATTACATTTTTTTCATTTATTAAAAAAAATCTTCGAATTTCACGCTACCGTTATCATTTAGTCATAGCAATGCTTGTTATTCTTGTCGGTCTTTCTTCAAAATTATCATCATTGTTGTTCACAGTGAAGCGTATTTTTTTTACATTTATGCGTGGAAAATTTGATGGGCTCTTATGCCCAGTCTGATTTGAGCGTTGTTGTTTTTTTCACATTGCGCGTTCTCTTTTTTTTCAATTCTCTCGCTCAGCCCAATGCTCTGTTTAGTCTTTGTCGAGCGGCTTCTTGATGACAGAGCGCTCTACATTTAAACACGTTACATTCCAATTTAACGTGGAAACGATATTTCATCATTTCACCGAATACACTTTCGAATTACACACAGTTGTGAATTTTGCTAGATTACTAGAAATTCACGGTGTTGGATTTTGTTTTTTTCGTTCGTCATTCGTGAACGCAAGTACACCGCATTTTCCATACAAATATTGAACAGAAACAAGAAGAAGTAAAAAAAACACATGTAACAGACAAGAGTCTGAGACAACTATCATTCAAAAATTGTATCTCTTAAGTGTCTATATTCTGAATTGAATAACAAGTACAACAATGGTAAAACAAAATATAAAACAAGTGCGAGTCAAATTTTCAGGTGTATGTACAGACATTTCTAAAAATCCAAAGTAAAAGAGGCTGCCGTGGGTTTGGGATTTTTTCGCTGAAAAAAAAAACCAATTATGCCAAAAACCAAAAAAGAAAACAATCACATTTACAAGATCATTTTTTTGATTAGTAGTACTCGAGGTACACTCACAGTAATTCATCTTTTCGGAATTTAGCCGTACCGAATTTGGAACAAATATGTTGTTGTTTTTTTTTCTCGTTCAGGCACGTCTACATTTTTTTCTCCACATTTGAAAATTTTATACATTATTTCATTATTTGGCAAACTCGCGAACCATATTGTT